GATGTTCCCCTTTTGTGTGTTTATCGCCCATCTTCTATGGAAACATGTCTATTCAGACTTTTTGACTTTTTAATTGGGTTATTTTTCTTTTGATTGAGATGTAGCAGTTCCTTATATTTTCTAGATGCACATCCTTTATTAGGTTTATGATTTGTAGACATTGTCCCCATTCTGTAGGTTGTATTTTCACTTCCTTATAGTATCCTTTGGGAGCTCTGGTAGCGTAGTGCCTAAGGCACTTGACTGCTAACCAGAAGGCTGACGGTTCACACCCACCAGCAATCCTACTTCCGTAGTGATACTGCCTCGGAAACCCAAGGAGGGGTCGCTATTAGTCGAGTCCGACTCGAGGGCACATAACAACAACAACAACAACAACATAGTATCCTTTGCAGCACAAATGTTTTTTACTTTTGATGAAGTTCAATTTATCTATTTTTTTCTTTTGTTGTTCGAACTTTTGGCATTGTATCTAAGGATCCTTTGTCAAAGCCAATGTCATGAAGATTTACCCCAATGTTTTTTCCTAAGAGTTTTATAGTTTTTGCTCTTACATTTAGGGATCTGATCCATTTTGAATTAAACTTTGTGTACGGTTTTTTGTGTATGGTATGACGCAGAGGAAGACTGGGCAATCGACTTCCATAAAGATTTACTGCCTCAGAAACCCAAGATGGGGGTCGCTATGAGTTGGAATCAACTTGATGACAGTGAGTTTGTTTTGGTTATATGGTATGAAATAGAGGTTCAACTGCATTTTTTTAATTTGGCTACAGAGTTGTTCCAGCATTTGTTGAAAAGATAACCATACCTTTATGCAAATAACATGTGGGTTACTGTTTTTGACAACTCTCCCCTCACCCCAGAAGTAATTTTACAAGTGTGCTTTTTATAGCAACACGTTAAAAAAAAAATAGTATAGCACACTTACAAAAGTACCTTGGGGTTGAGGGGAAAGGGAGTGCCTGAACTACACAGATAAAGTAGAATGTGAGCGTTATTTGTGTAAAAATAATGGTATTCTTTTGCCTTGGCATTCTTGTCAAAAATCAGCTGACCAAAGATTTGTGAGTTTTTTCTGGGCTCTCAATTCTATCCCACTAAATCTGTAAACATCTTTGTGCCAGTACCAGACTGTCTTGACTACTCATACTTTGTACTAAGTTTTGAAATCAGGACACGTGTGTCTTCCTACTTTATTCTTCTCTTTGGAATTGTTTTGGTTATTCTGGATCCCCTGCAATTTCATATGAATTTTGGAATCAGCTTGTCAATTTCTACTAAGTCAGCTGCAATGCTGATAGGGAATGAATTGGGAGACTGGTTCAGGGAGTACTGCTAGTAAGTGTTCAATTTACCAATCCGTAAGTAGTAGATGCTTTCCCATTTATTTGGATCTTTAATTTCTTCCAACATTGTTTTGTAGTTTTCAGAGTGGTTTACATTTGTTTTGGTATGTTTATTTATTTTCTGATGCTATTATGAATGGAGCTATTAATTTCATTTTCAGATTGTTTATTGCAAGTATAAATACAACTGACTTCTGTACACTGATCTTGCATTCTGCAACCTTACTGAACTTGTTTTTTATTTCTTAAGAGTCACAGAAGCAACAGCTGTGGCCTACGCCTCCCCCATCACGTTCGAAGCTGCAGTCACCTCTTCCTTGAACCTGGCAAATTGCTCAAATGACTGCCTCAGTCATCAGCCCAGAAGAACACAACCTCTGTCAATTGCTTCCAACTGTGATCATTTTCTGAGGGATAGGAAAATTAACTTCTATTTCTCTTCCTCACTCTCCTCAGCATATTTTAATAAACACAGGATGACTGGAAAGCACTTCAATAATCCCCACTTGCAAAGCAGATCAGTTCAGGGTGATTGTTTTCATTACCAAGGTTCCCCCCGCCCCCATTTTGCAAAACAGATTCACTGCAGCCTTCTGTAATGCATTTGAAATATGCCCGAATCCAAACACTTTGTTTACAGATTTTCACACCTGTAAATTTACATGAAGTAATACATAATCTTTATTTATTATTTAAGTCGTCTCTACTCCATAATGCCTTAGAGGATTTTATGTTAATTTTGGAAACAGGGATGACAAAACTGAACTGAAAAACCTGCTCATTCATCCCTTGTCTCCTGCATAAGGAAAGTAACTAGAAGTGGCACGTAATTAAATTACATTCACCAAATGTTTACTTAGCATCTACTCTGTTCTGCAGCACACCCCTGGGCCGTGCAAACAGTTATTGCACTTGGTTGTTAACTGGAAGACTGAAGGTTTGAGTGCATCCAGAGGCATCCTGGAAGAAAGGCCTGGTGATCAACCTCTGAGAACTGAGCCACTGAAAATCCTATGGGGACGGTTCTACCTTGACACACACAGGTCGCCTAAGTCTGATTCAACTCAATGGCAGTTGGTGGTTTACTCTGTTCCAAGCAGACACTGCAGAGGCATTAAGGACATGTATTAAAGATACGGCTCACGACCTAGCTGGAAAAAAGCTACCCGGATAAACAACTGCAATGTGATGTGGGGAGTGACTGGTAAGGGAGGTGGATGATGAGCCCACGTTTTAAATGTGAGCAACTGAAAGGTGGGTAACTGTGGGTGAAAGACCACCAGGGACTGAAATGTGCTGCTGAGTCAGAATGGGCTGCCTGTGTATTTGGGTGTGTGTATGTGTATATGTGTGTGGGAGAGAGAGAAAGAAAGAAAGAAAGAGAGAAATTTAAAATTTTGGATTGATATTACCTTGGGTACTCAAGCTTTTAATCGCCAAGAGCTGAGCCACCACTATCCTTAACCTGTCTGTGCTCTGAGCCATGTTGACCCTTCCCTCCTCCCAGCACCAGGCCTAAGGATAACTTGGGGCACTAACTGGTTGACAAGTCCTGGGAGCTCTGGTAGCGTAGTGCCTATGGCACTTGACTGCTAATCAGAAGCCTGGTGCTTCAAACCCACCAGCCACTCCTCAGAAGGAAGGTTGGGCAATCTACTTTCATAGTGATACAGCCTCGGAAACCCAAGGAGGGGTCATTATGAGTTGGGTCTGACTGGAGGGCACATAACAACAAATTATGTGCTGTACCTGGGGTTGAAGACAGTGAAGACAGACATGCCTTCAAGGGTCAGGCAGATAATACTGCAGACTGAAGCAGGCTTAGGGAATGGAGGTCCTTGGTGAATGGAGAAAGTGGGCCCCATCGAAAGGGGGAAGTAGTTCTCTGCCTCGCCAACTGCTGTTGAGGAAATGCAGTTCAATGGAGCCTAATCTCATTTGTGCAGGCAGGCTGAAAGTCTGACTTTCTGGGTGAAATTTGATTTTTATATTTATATAACATTTTTGATATTATATAGCATCTAATGCAATTAAAATAAAAACTGCGAGCCACACAGAATGTACTGCTAGGCCCAGCCTGGTTGTTAGGTTGTCGAGTTGTTCTGACTCAGTGATCCCACGTACAACAGAGTGAAACGCTGCTTGGTCCAGTGCCATCTTCACAATCCTCGCCACGCCTGAGCCCACTGCAGCAGTCACTGTGTCAATCCATCTTATTGGGGTGTTCCTCTTTTTCACTGACCCTCCATTTTTCCAAGCATGGTGTCATTCTCCAAGGACTGGTCCCTCCTGATAATACGTCTAAAGCACATGAGATGCGATCTCGCCAGCCTCGCTTCTAAGGAGCATTCTTGCTGTACTTCTTCCAAGACAGATCGGTTCATTCTTCTGGCAGGCCACGGTATTTTCAATATTCTTCACCAGTACCATAATTTAAAGGCATCAATTCTTCTCTAGTCTTCCTTATTCACTGTCTAGCTTTCACTTGTATATGAGACGACTGATAATCACTTGGATTAGGTTCAACTTAGCCCTCAAAATGACATCTTTGCTTTTTAACATATTAAAGAGGTCTGTTGCAGCAAATCTACCCAATGCAATATATTGTTTATTTGTGTGTGTGTGTGTGTGTGTGTGTGTGTCTCCTGAGGTACCTATAATGTACTAGACTTTTCTATGTTTTATTTTGATTTTTTTAAACTTTTTATTGTGATGTGGGTGAAAGTTCAGAGAACAAATTCATTTTCCATTCAACAGTTCATACACATTTTGTTTTGTGATGACATTGACTGTAATCCCCACAATGTAACAGCTCTCTTCCCACTTTCTCCCTGTGGATACCTTTCCCCATGTCCTTCTTTCCTATGCATTCCTCCTTTGTGAGCCTTCTCCCTGCACAAATGCTGCCCTTCTGACCTCCCATGGTTGATTGTTCTCCCTGGTGTTATGTATTCAACTTGTAGCCAGGTCTACTGTTTGGCTAAAGGTTAAGCCATGGGAGTGAGTTCAACTCTAGGCCTAAAGGGTGACTAGGGGCCATAGTCTCAGGGGTTTCACCAGTCTCTACCAGACCAGTAAGCCTGGTCTTTTTTATGATCTTGAGTTTTGCTCCACATTTTTCTCTCACTCTATCCAGGATCTACAACTTACAACTACTGTAAGAAGGAAAAGATCAACGTGACTTTGGGCATTATGACTTTTGAGATGCTGAAGGATTCTGGCGACATAGTACCTAAGGCATTTGACTGCTAAACACAAGGTTGGTGGTTCAAACCCACCAGTCACTCTGCAGAAGGAAGACTGGGCAATCTACTTCTGTAAAGATTTACTGCCTTAGAAACCCAAAGGAAGTTGCTGTGAGTTGGAATCAACTCGTTGGCAGTGAGTTTGATTTTTTTTTTTTTTTTTTTCTGAAAAGACATCCAAGTAGGGATGTTTGCTGGCAGTAAGAACTGCTTTCACTCAGCAAAGACTTTCTGGACACTTTCCACATAGAAGGTCCTGAGCCAGACACTGGGGATTAAATAGGTGAATGAACATGGAAGTCATCATAATTTAGGGCAGAATGTGATGAGAGAGAAAGGCCTGAAGCTGAGAAGAGGAAGCCACTCCCACTGCCCAAGGCATCAGAAGCGGGGACCATGCCAGTACCTTTCTTTGTCTTACAAGGTCCACGTTCAGGGTGAATCTCTTGTAAGGGACGAGACACCACCTTAGCCAGGCCAGCACTCAGCATGTACTGGTACAGACGCTTAAACGTCCTTTCACACAGACCCTGCCAAGAGAGAATGGAAAAGCTACTATTAGGTACAAGCAAGGTGTTTGAAATTACTGTAAGAGTCAAGGGAAGGAACACAAGTTCAGGACCTGACTTAATTGATGAATTAAAAAATTCAAGAAGAGATTCCAAACAATTCTACAGGTGAATAAATTCACCCTAAAATGATTCCCTGAGTAATTTTAAAAATAAAGTTCAATTCAAAACATGAATTACAAAGTGATCGTTGCAATATTGGTTGTAATAGCAAATGATTAGAAACTACCCAAATGTCCATCAAAAGGGGACTGGTTACATAAAGGACAAAGAACATGTCATGGATAAAAATGCAGCCATAAATAAGGAGGGGGAGACGCTGGAGTAACTAATGCAGAAAGACTGGAACCCTCAGGGGGACAAAGCAAGGTGCAGAGCGCATGCATATAAGCGATCCTGCCCCTGGATCACGAGAAGGGAAGGCACCCCCCCGGCAGCGACCCTGCAGGCACATTCAGAGGGCAATGCAGTCGACCAGGGCAGAGGCGGGAGACTTGTCACAGGAACCTTCTTACGCTGTTTTGATTTTTGACTCAAGTAACCGTATTAAATTGATAAACATTATCTTAAATTATTATCTATAAACATTATCTTAAATTATTAGTAAACACACACAAGCATGTCCACACTTCTCTTAACAGGTGGTAATGGAAAACACGGGAGAAACAATTAAAATTTAAGATAATGTTTATAAATTTAAAAAAGTAGTCTAGCTGTGAATCTACAACAAAATCATGCCGACTACATCTACGCCATGACTCTTATTTCCACAAGGTTAATACAACAGTGGTGATCAGGCATGATGTAGGCATCACCAATGGGCAGCCTCCTGGGCAGGCCACACTTTTTCACCTGTATGATGTTTATCACAAAAGTAACTTACTTTCCAACACTTAAGAGTGAGAGGTTTCACACCCACACCCACACCTGATTGTAGCTCCTCTTGAAACACTGGGATCTGGCAACAAATCCTAGGACCGTGGTCCTTCAGAGCAACCAGTCAGCTGGCGCTGAGGTCACCTGCTTCCCCTCTGACAAGCACGCCTGTGTCTGGGAGCCCCAGACTTCACACTCCCTATCAGACCCTTTGATACTGAGTTAGAATGTCAGCTGCCACTTATTACCATTTCTATGCTGCTTTTCTCTTATAGCACTTAAGAGGAAAATGAAACATTTCTTGCATCCATATCGCTATCAAAATTGTTTTTTACACTTGGCCCGTTTCACTCCTTTATACTGTCCTGGCCACCGCTGGCATCTGCATTTGTATGCCCTGGAATAGTAGGGTGAGTTACCACTGCTGTAAGTTATGGATTGAACAGAGGCACTCATTACTAAGACTTGTTAGTTGAGTCTTACAGGTTTCTTCTCACACTCTGGGGGAGAGAGGGAGCAAGTGTCTGTGGTCTGCTGCCGCCAGCTACGCATGATCGAGTCTGACTAGCCAGCCCTCTAGCTGTCAGGCAGAGCATATGGCCATCAAAGAAATACAGATGACTCACACATGGCTCATTCAAACCACTGCTCTGTAAATGGCATCTATTGTTAATCTAGCCATGCCCCCAGCATCCTGGAAAGGTCCTCTGAAACTCATCCATCAAACCCCAGCCCTAAACATATGCTACTAAGTCCTGGACCATCTTAAATGATGGAGGATGATTTAGTCTTGCCTTCTGGAGGGATGCCATCAAGGAGTCATACAATCTGCCCAATAAAAAGAGAAGGAAGAACAGGACCCAAAAAAGATACTGTCTATATTCATGGCATCAACCTTTCCACAGGCTAATTACTCCCTGTGACTTCCAGCTGTCGACTAGACAACACCAAGTGAACATGCCAGAAGGTCCTCATACTCAATAAACCAAAAAGTCGAATTTGTCATGTACCTCCTTCCCGCCCAAATTTGTTCCCTTCTACACTCTGTTCATGTATTAATTCAACAAATACTTACTGAGTATTCACCTTATGCCGAGAACTGTCCTCTTGGGAGTGGGGGTGGGGGGATTCAGCAGTGAGCAGACACAATCTCTGCTTTCATGGAACCTAGTTCCTAGTTCCATTGACTTCAGTGAGTGGCACTCTCTTGAGCCCACTCAAGCCACGGGCTTCATCTTATGACTCCTTCTTCATTTACCTCTAAATCCCGACTCTAGTCACTCACCAAGTCTTGTTATCTTCACCTCCAAAATGCTTCTCAAACAATTCAGGCCACATCCTGGCCCTACCACCTGGCCTGCAATCTCTTCCATTTACCAGGTCCTCTCTCTAAACCCTCGTCTTATAACTTCCCACTTATACACTGCCACTAGTCACTGTTACGGAGATTCTGACTCATGACGACCCTATGTGCATCAGAGCAGAACTGTGCTCCATAGGGGGGTTTTCAAGGGCTGATTTTTCAGAAATACATCACCAGGTCTTTCTTCCAAGGTACCTCTCAGTGGACTTGAATATTCAACCTTTTGGTTAGCAGCCAAGCACCTTAATGTTTGTACCACCCAGTGACTGTGAAACTGCCACCACCCCTCTATATTCAAGACCTTTCTTATCCAGTCCTAACTTTCCTTTCTAGTCACATCTCCTGCTACCCCCGGTCCCAAGCACACTTGGACCTGGTCACACTCAAGACTACTGCTGATCTCGGAAAATGTCCTACGACCTCTCAGGACTCCATGCCTTTGCTCAAGCTGGTCTCTTTTGTCTGAAATGCCATTTCTCCTTGACCTACTTAGACCCTGAGAGCTTGTTTGGAGGTTCTAGCAGGGGAGCACAGCTAGTCATATACCCCTGACTGAAGGTCATTCTCTTCAATCGAGCATGCAACTTCAAGAGAGACGCACATGGAGTGGTAAGGGAGGAAGGGGACACCTGCCTTGCCAGCCAGATCAGTCAAATCAACCCTGACAATCAATGGGGTGACAAATGTCACAGCCAGATCACCTCCCATCCTCTTCTACCTACTTGGGAAGACTTACTCTTCAAAGCTCAACCCAACTTCAGCTTTCTCTATAAGCTTCCTCAGCAATGTGAAGAGTGCCCCTCCCTCCTCTGAGCTCAGACACATTCTCCAATGTGACACTCTAGTCTAAGTGTACACTCCCATGCCTGCCCCTCCACTAGGTGTGGTGGTTAAGTTTTTGTGTCAACTTGGCTGGGCCTGTATGAGTGGCTGGGCAGCTGGTGGTAGTTACTCCCCATGATGAGACTGGTAATCAACTCCATGGTGGAATCTACTGTGAGCAGCTGAGTGGCTGCCTTAGGGAATGTGGTCTGGTTCCTGTATATAAGCAGAGCCCTTGGGGAATGGTCTCTAGCCTATGGCTTGGACCCTGCATGAAGCTATGTTGTTGCTCAGTAGCCTGCTATGCTCTGCTGACCTTGGGACTTACAATGGACTTAAGTTAATGGCCTGCCATGTGGTTTGGTAACATCAGGACTATGCCTTTTGACTTGTCAACCTTGGGGTTTCTCAGCCTCAGCAGCCAGCAGCTGTCTGAGTGAAGAAATGCCTCTTGCTCCAGTGGGCCGGGAGCAGAGGCAGAGCTGGACCCCAAGGTTGAGGGGCTTTCACCCAGCCCCTAGAGCCTGGCACTTTGAACTTGGACTTAAAGCCTCCAAATTGTGAGAATAAATTCCTATTTGTTAAGGCCATCCTATTTGTGGTATATATTCTTGTCAGAGTGGCACTTGGTAACC